CATTCCTTGAGCTGCTGCAGAAGTTTGTTGAAGTGCTTCCTGTGCTTCTTATTCCGGATGCCCGTCACATTCTCCAGCACAAATCCACGCGGTTGCATGCGGCAGATGTAGTCCACCACAGCCTTTGATAAATCACGTTGGTCTCATTTCCCCTGCCCGACGCCCGCCGTACCTCGGAAGGAGCAGACTAAGCAAAGACCTATGTGCAAAAAAACAGAAAGTAACCCAAACTCGGTTGAAAACAGCTACTTGTTCTGGCAGTCTGCTGTATGGTTGGCACGGAAACCCAGCTGTGTACAAGTCACACTTCTCGCAAACATTTCCAAGAGCATATCCAAGACTCCTCGGTCCCTTTTTGTGGGAAAGAATCACCTTTCGGCAATCTGGGTCCACATCGGTGGCAAACTGAACCATGAACTCAATCCCCAGTTGCTTCGCTGCCACAACATCAGTTCCCATGCCGCTGCAGTCGCTCCCAAGCATGATTGGCCACTTGCGCTGGCAATGTGACTCCACCTTCTCCACGCGAGGAGGCTTCTTGATGCCAGTTTTCTTCACCTTCAAGGATGTCTTCCCCATGCTTCACGGACTTTCTGCGGCAACGCAGCAAGTCAGCTGAAGAAGCAACTGGAGGAAAGCTGGCTGCGGGGCGAAGCGTGAAACGGCTTGACGGGCAGACAGAACACATGAGCACACCAGACAACAGACAACAAGACGTAGTAGTCTCGGCTTGGGGCTTAATTGCACATACCCCCCAAAACAAATAGCAGGTCAGCCCGATTTTGAGCCGCAGTGCCAGGGGGTTCCGTACCCCCTGGCACTGCAAGTTCTGATGCATCAGAACTCGCAGTGCCAGGGGTTACCCCCCATTTTCGAGTCCCGAGTGCCAGAGGGTTCGGAACCCCCCGGCACTTGGGACTCGAAAATGGGGGGGTAACCCCCGGCACTGCAAGTTCTGATGCATCAGAACTCGCAGTGCCAGGGGGTTCGGAACCCCCCGGCACTCGGGCTGTCGGGCCCAAAAGAGCCCGAGGACCCGTTTGAAAAAGCATAAACGACTTAGACTCAAAAATCTAGTGCGTCAAAACTCGCAGGGGCCCAAAATCTAGTGCATCAGAACTCGCAGGGACCCAAAATCTAGTGCATCAGAACTCGCAGGGGCCCAAAATTCTGATGCATCAGAATTGTTCATTTGGCAGACACAGGGAGCAACACCAAAAACCAGGCTTGCGTGGCAGAAAGCGCTCAAACAAAACTCCCACAAAATGGAGGATTTTTCGGCTGACCGGACCCGCGCATCAGCCGGGACAAGGTTCCCCCCACCCCCCCCCCCGGCTTTGATATCTTTGCTGATCCCGCGAAAGCTTCCATGATGTCGGCTCTGGACTGGAGTTCGTCTGGTAGATCTGGTACTCCTTGGTGATGGCGTGGAGCGCGTTGTTCACCTTGCCAATGAGTCGTTTCTTGACTCCTGGAGCTATTGTGCATCGGCTGGCAGTTCCCAGCCCTCGTCACTGAAGGTCTCGATGAAGTCCATCCCGTCGTCCGCCACCATCGTGTCCAGGTAGAGGTCCGTCTCGTCGGTGACCGGAAGGGCTGGCGCCCGAGTAGGACGAGGTTGCTGCTCGAACTGCTCGTGGAAGGAGCTGGTCTGCATGGCTCGGGCTCCCGGTCTGAACTTGGGGTAGGAGGTCGTGCTGGTGAGCAAGATCTCCGCAGATGAGGGCGCCGGCAAAGAAAATTTGCGCGAAGGCCCTTGCCCATCTTCCAGCCAGTCCTGCTGCTTGTCGGACCACCGAAGCCTCAGGTTGCACCTCTGACATGATGCGAACCTGCCGTACTTGTTGCCGTGCCTCTTCCATTCGGGGTGGACACACGTGTGGCTGTTGTGGATCGGTGCCTTGCCGACGTCCTTGCGTTGGTCGATCCATTCCTCCTGGCGGAGGTGAAGGGTCAGCCACACTCGATGTGCAAGGCCGCGCTTGACCATCATGGATATGTAGCGAAGGCACGTCCACTCCAGCGACATGAGCCTGATGACGATCATCCTCCAAGCCACAGCCCATTGAGGCGCAGGTCGGCTCAGCATTCGGGCAAGTCTGGGGCTCTGTCTGAACTTCGGGCCTCTCAACTGCTGTGGTTTGCGAGGTTGAAAGCAACACAAGCTCTGGCTGCGAATCATCCCAACTGGAATCCCGTGCGAACTCGTCCCACGTCGGACTCGAATCCGCGCCTGCACTGAAGTTGGCGATCTCGATGGCGAGATGGGCTGAGATGCGATGCAAGGGAACGGTCTTGCCGATGGTCTTGAGGATGATGATCCCGTTTGAGAAGTCCAACACTGCTTGCATGTGTTCGAGAAAGTTGTTGGATGCCAGCAAAGGGATCTGGGTGTTCACAATGGCGGCTCCAATCAAACACTCAACATCGCCGATGATGGAGGGCAGGTAAACCCACGAAGTGGATTTGATAGGGGCGCCGCGTCCAAACTGGAAAAGTTCGGAGTTGGGGGTGATGTGGGTCTGCAGGTTCTTGCTGTGGAGGAGCTGCTCGTGGGATTTCAACCACTGGGGCCCGCAACACGTCCTCTGGCATGCAGTATCGAGGATCATCAATCCCGAAAAGGATTCCTGGGAGATGAAAGTGTCAAACACGACGTTAACTGCATAGTTGGTCATGAAGGTGTAGTAGGGGATGGTTTCGTTGGTGCTGTGGTTGACGGGGTTGTCGTCGTGGTTGTCGGGGACATTGACGGTGAAAAGCACCTTTTTCGGCTGGGCGTCCTGGTCGCGATGGCCTTTTGACCTGGAGTCGGGCTTGGCTCGGGTGCCTTTGCTGCCTTTGCCACCCTTGCTGCTCTTCGTGCAAACAGGGTCTCCGCTCCAGTGTCCCAAAACGCCGCAGGCTGAGCAATGCGAGGATTTCTTGCGCTCCTCGATGCTCTTGTTTCCTGAAAACTTCCGACCAAGGGTGGTGGCTTTGAGCCGTTGGGCTGTCAAGGTCAGCACATCCGCGACCTCTGCAATGTCTGCAGGAGCTGTCTCGTCGCCCTCGTGATCGTCGTAGGTCGGCTCGTCGCCAACACACTCCTCAAACTGGTCGGTCTGATCGGGGTCGTGCTCGGGGATGTCCTCGAGCTCGGGGTCAAAATCGGGCTCATCATTGGGTTGGTCGTCTATCTGGTCCTGGCCATCGGCCTCCGTGATGTAGGCAGTGTGCCGGTGAGGCGAGAACTTGCCTTTCTTGCCGCCCTTGCCATACGACTTGGACGGTGCTGCGCCGTTGGGAAAGGTCGTACTCTGCTGAAGCTTGCCGCCTTTTCCGCCGTGGTTGTAGCGCTGTATGGGTTGCCCATCGCGTCCGTGTAGCACAGGTGGTGGTTTGTGCTCCGGGAAGCTCATGAGCATGGACTCGGAGATTGCCTTGCTGTTGATCTGGTAGCCGGCACCGATCAAAACCAAGCGTTGGGCGTCTGGAGAAAGCCGGGCTCTCTCAAGAAGCCTGTAGCCCTTGGCCTCCGAGTCGTACATCTTATCCGGGAAGATGCTCATGGCAGAGAGCTGCGACTCCGTTCTCTCATACCTGTTGAGGTATCCTCTGATTGACTCAGAGGGCTGCCTGACGATGCTCTCAAAGTCGCCCAGTAGCTTGCGCTTCTGGTAGACGAGCTTGGTGTCGAGGTTGGACTTGAGGAAGCTGACTATATAGTCGATCCCATCCGCGTAGTTGATCCGCTCCAAGGTGGCCATCTCCAGGAGTTCCTCCGCCTCGCCCGTGAGGGACGTGTAGAGCAAGAGTGCGGCCTCGCGCTTGGAGAGGTAGTTGTAGACTTGCATAGTCCACACCTCAACCTTTCGCTGCCAGCGGGCGAAGCTCCGAAGATCATCTGGCCTATAAGACCACTTCGGAGGGTGCGGCGGCATGCCGGAACGGTATCGAATACCTGGCGCTGGTCCTTGGCGTGAGTCCCAGGAGGCAGTGCCGCTCTGATTGCCTTTCTTATCCTTGTGCTTGTTCAGGCTGTTCAGGGCCGTGACCAACTCCTTTATGGCATCTTGGTGTGGTTGTCCAGAATCGTCATGAAGGAGCGCGTCTTCGGGTAGCGCTGGGGGACGATCTCCAACATCTCCGTCAGGGGCACCAGGTTCGCCGCGTGCTCGTGCTCTGCGGCGTGGCCTTTGCCGGCGTGGCGTAGGCTGCATGGTGTCCGGGTCGATGCTGGGGTCCTCCGTGGGCCTCTCGGATTCGGCAGTTTCACCGGCTTCAACACCAAAGGGACGAAGGGGGTCCTCTGTTGCTGGTGGTGGGCCTACCGATCGCAGGAGGTCCTGGAACTTCCTGTGGGGTAAGGTCCTCGGATGGCTGGTTGGGCATGTACATCCAAACTCCATGGCGCGTCTCGTGCCGTTGATGGTGCCGAGCGTTGTAGAACTCATCAGCTTCACAAGTGCTGCAGATCCATCCGGATTGGTTGGCCATGAAGGTGTCACCTGCACAGTGCCAGCAACGCCAAAGCTCAAGGCTTCTTCCACCGCTGGAGCCATCCGGAACAGGGGGTTCCTCAGCGCGGTCCTCCGAGTAGATCTCGAAGTGCTCAGGCGCCGGATCATCCCTGCCCACCGTTGGGCTCCGCTGCCAACTCATCGATCCGACTTGCGAGTGTCGGTCGACTTCCATGGGGTGTCAGCACACGCGCGGTGGGTGCCTTTTTGCTGCGAAAGCATTCAGCTCATGGGCCCTTCAAGCCGCAAGGTTCACATGATGCATGCGATGTGTCAACGGCCAAAGTGCAATGAGGCTAAGTGGCCAAAAACTTGTCAGGTGGAACCCTGGTGGAACCCTGGTGGAACCTTGGTGAAACCCTTGTGGAACCTTACCTCAGGGCCGCCCCGGACCACCCCGGAGCCTATCTGGGCTGAGACCCCTAAAGCTTTCAGCTGTTGGGGAAAAATTCGGGGAACCGCCCAAACGCTCGACGTTTTCACGTCTCACCAGGGCGCCACCGGGGCACTGCACGCAATCCGAGAAGGGCGTCGCCACCCACGCGGCCGCCGCCGCCGTGTGCCCTAGGTCCACGCGACGCACCCGGCGCCGCACGCGGCGCGCGCGATGCTTCTGCGCCTCCTGGACCCGTTGGAGGCCAAATGGGCATGGGTCAAAGTTATACCAGGAATTAAACCACAGGTTTTAGTCCTTGGTTCCATTTACCAGGCTGCCAATTTGGGTGCTTATTTTTGACCCACAGCCAAATGGGCGCGCGCGCCTTTTTTGTTGGGTGCTCGGCCAAGTTAAGTTCACAGGCTGATGGTTCAAAGGATGATTGTATAGGTCCATATATGAACCCATGGCCATTTGGGACCCTTTAAAGGCTGATGTCCAAGAACAAGGACAAGTGGTTTGGTAACCTAGGTTATAACCTACATCTTGGAGATCTCGGTATTTCTCGAGGTGGATGCCCCGTTGGCCATATGGCAAAGTAAGGGAACAAGTCGAACAAATTGAAACCGATTCTCTAATTTTCTGTGACTTAGGGTGGTTTGGCGATTGAGTGTGGTTGGTGTACTTGCAATTGCAATATGGATGTGTGTGTCTTTGTTGAGGGGACCACCCAAACCAATCCTGGCTGCCTTGAGGTTCCCTCTTAAAACCACACTGGGGTACCCCCATATGCGGCACGAAAATATCCACCGTATCCTGCACCATCAAAACTTGCAACGGGCAAAACCAAAGCCTTGGACACCTCGTCTGAATTGATTGACTCCATGGGGAGTGTACAACCGAAGCCTCTTTTTTTTTTTTGGGGGGGGGGGGGAGGGTGTCTAACCTGCCACACCCAATTATTGAATAAACCCCTAGGTCGTTCATACGGGAGGTCCCAGTCTAGAGGCAACCAGTCAAGGGTGGGAGGGCACATCACCACATACATCTGCAAGGTGTACTGTATTGACCTTGTGATCAAATGATCTCTCATGGACACCTTTCTTGCCTCCAACAAAAACTAGGTGTGTTTCCTAGTTTTGGGGAGAGCATCAAAAAAATGGTTTCCCTTTGGCGTCCCTTTGAAACAACCTACAAAGGGTACCCTCAACAAAGCCAAACCCATAAGTAGAATCCTCAAATGTAGAATGATTTCAAAAGAGAATGCCAGTTGCAAGGAGATAAGCCCAGAAAACCAGCGGGGGTTGCAGGAATGATATGGGACGGTCTCAAAATGAGGAACTCGACTTGTTTTTTCTCCTTCTCTTGGATCACCACCTCCTTCTCCTCTTTCTTGCGCTGCAACAAGACCCGGCCAGCTGCCGGCGCCTGCCAAGCTCATACCATGGTTGGACCAAGTAGAATTCCACTAGCAAACACCCCCTGATCAAAATCAAGTATTCTACTTACATCTGAGGTTCCCATTCATTAAGCAGCTTCCTGTTTGGTTCAATGCGAACCCCTGGGTGATCATAGAGGTCTCACTTTTTCTTTATAGTTCGGACCTGCGGTGGGCCCTAAATATTGCAAGTAAACCAACCATACTTAGCCAATCACAATAAATTAGAGAATCGGTGTTGTCTTGTTCCCTTTGCAATATGGCAAGTGGGCTCCTGCCTGGAAGATAAATGCTAGGTGTCTCTTTTGTTGGTGGACCCCCAAACACTATAGTCTTAGAGTGGTCCTTTGGGTGTCCATTTCTTTCAACCAAACCAGAGTCTTCCCCCGGACGAGCCAATTGGCTCAGGGGACAATGCCCCCTCTGCGAGGCGCCATGGCAGCCCGGCCTCGCAACTGCCACCGACGCAGTCACCGACTGCCTCTTGCAGCGAGGCGCACAGCACCGCAAGGAAGGCGGCGCGAGCAATCATGACTCTTCCTCGGGTCGCAAGCATCCCTCAGCGAAATGCAAAAAAAGAAAAAACGCAACCAGTTGGGGCAACAACCTCAGAGTAAATGTCAAGGCTCGACGAGAAAAAAGAAAGAAGACTTATTGGGAAAACGTGTGTGTGTGTGTGGGTGTGTGTTGTTGTGCAAAAAGCGAAACAGTTTGCTTCGTGGGGAAACTCGCATCTTCCAAAAGCTTAACGCGCAAAAGCTCATACTGAAGAGCTGCCAAGCTTCCGGGGAAGAGCGTCACGGTATACTTTGGAGTAAAATTGTTGGCAATAGCTCGGGCCATTCGATCCACGAAAAAACAAACTGAGCGAGGGCTGCTTTGACTGTGCCAATGCCTCAGGGCCTGAGACCGGCGTGTGAGTGGCTCTAGGTCCTCCAGATTTGAGAGGTTAGAATAAGGGTACCAACTGTTTTTTTTTCCCCCGGTTTTGTCTTCTTAGTAGGGGAACCCTCCCAAAAAATAAGCTCAGGTGATATCCCCAACAGCATGCGGAAGCTCGTGGAACCCTGGTGGAACCCTGGTGGAACCCTGGTGGAACCCTGGTGGAACCCTGGTGGAACCCTCGTCTAACCTTACCTCAGGGCCGCCCCGGACCACCCCGGAGCCTATCTGGGCTGAGACCCCAAAGCTTTCAGCTGTTGAGGAAAAAGGGTAAAAGGGCACTACTGGGGGACCTAGGGGTGTTTTGCTATAAAAACGTGCGTAAGACCTCTTTTCAGTACGCCATCTATGACCCACTCATAGGCCCAAACTGGTGTAGCAGCGCCATCGCCATTTGCTCGGGGCGAAGGAGTGGCGAACAGCTTTTCCTGGTTCGGCCGGTGAGGTCCAACTGAACCACGAGTGGAATCACCTTTAAACTCTTAGCCTGGAAGACTGATCTGGTCCGGAGCCCTTGGGCATAAGTTTTTTGGGGGGAAAATACACGGCCCTGGAGCATGAAACCCGGTCAAACCATGTATCGCCATCACCATGACCTGTTTTTGCCCTTGCACCGACCGCACGCTGGCCCCCTTTTATCGGCGCAGGTCTTGCATGGAGCGCAAAATCTGCCAGAGCCCACGGCCCACGGCATACGGCGCCTTTGAAGCTTAAACTCGGCCTCGCAACTTTCGCGAGCCAAGAGTAGTGAACCCCCCTCCAAGGTGGAAATCAAAACGTTCTGGTGCGCCAGGGTTGTAGGGGTTGTCAAGAACCTTAGGGGCGCCATATTGAATATGTGTGTTTTTGTTTCGGGAGAAACGATGAGGAAACCAGCCGTTTCGGGGGGGGGTCCGCTTTCAGACACAAACTTATACATCTGAGGGCCACCTACCAGCTCCAGCTCCAACATGCGTGGGAAAAGCGAAGTCAGCCAGCGCCAATCTGGCCCGGCCCAACCTGTTTTCCTAGTTTTCCAGGGTGTCTTAAAGGACACATACAAAAACACCTTGACAAGGATTTGGATCCTCTAAATCAGCGAAAGTATCTGGGTGATGCTTTTCTGAGTGGCCCAAATTCCTCCGCCTTTTCTTGGTCTTTTGCATCAGCTGATATGTCTGTGGCTTTTTCTTGCACCCCAAGACGTCTCCTTTAAGGCCCGCGTTGTCGGCAGCTTTCGGCCGGGTTTTCAGCGGTCGACTCAGGCGGCGGTCACCGTAATGGTGTCCACGGCAATGTCACTGGACCAGCCGTTGCCCGTGCGCCCGTAGATGCGCAACCTGCAGAAACTTGGGGAAAAAAAAAGAAGAAAAAAACAACTAAAGGATTTGGGCCTGTCTTCTTTTGGGGGGTGGATTGCCTCTCTCCCTTTAACCCCTAAAATTTGCGGAAACCCTTTTGGCCAACCTTCAACCTCACCATCGGTGGTCATATAACCACCTTGTTTTCCTGGGCTGTCCGCAGATCCCCTGCTGAAAAGTTCAACTTTGAGTGGGGTAACTGGAAACCACTAAGCGCTAAAAAGCCAAACAGCTAAGGAACCGAATGGCTTTTAGAGCCACGAAGTTTACCTAAGGATTGTCATCCTTGTAATGGGGGGCAACAAATCCTAGGACTGAAATATTTGATTAAATCATCATTTTAAGGGTGTCTCTTTCTGTTGAGGGCACCCCCTGTTGCGCTTGGTTTAAGCATCTAGTGGACACCTCCTAAAATGGCCAATGGGGTTTTGGGGGCGGCTGATGCAAAATTCGACTTTCTCCCGGGGACCCTATGGAAACCCTGCCTTGAATAGATATGCTCATGGTCGAACATATCTTCTCCTCGTGGGGAAACGCCATCACTTGAGACTCATGTCTACTCGATTCCTTTGCAAGGGGGACTTGGCACAGGAGCTCCTCCTAGCAGCCGTTCAAAAAAAAACTTTGCAGGGAATTCCATTGGCATCAAAACCGAAGGTGGCACCGACACCCCACGCAGAAAGTCCCACAGGAAGTCGCGCAGGAAGTCGCACAGGAGAGCGACGAGTTCGGACCGGGCGAAACGCTCAAGAGCCAACCGCAGGGTCTGAGCTTGACGTGAAGAAATGGTCAGACTCGTGGGTCCGGAATTCTCTGGCGGGAATTGTGGTCGACACAGAGAGAAAGACAGAAAGAAAGAAAGAAAGAAAGAAAGAAAGAAAGAAAGAAAGAAAGAAAGAAAGAGAGAGAGAGAGAGGCAGACAGACAGACAGACAGGCAAAAAGACAGACAGACAGACAGACAGACAGACAGACAGACAGACAGACAGACAGACAGACAGACAGACAGGCAGGCAAGCAGGCAGGCAGGCAGGCAGGCAGGCTGACAGACAGACAGACAGAAAGAAAGAAAGAAAGAACAAAAGAAGGAAAGAACAAAAGAAAGAAAGGAAGAAAAAAGAATGACAGAAAGAAAGCAACAAAGAAAGGACGGAAGGAAGGACGTAGGGTAAGCATTTAGTTGAGAGGCGCGCGTTTTTTTTTGTGCGACAAGCTTTCTTTTGAGAGCGTGGAAGCGGGGGGATTGCGGACAGGACAAACCGCATGGCCTTGAAACAAAACGTGCAAGTGAGCTAAAATCAACACGGATTACCATGGTCGTGGAAAGGCTTTGTCACAGAAAATGGACGAAAACCACCCACGCCTCGGTTCCCGAAGGACACGGAAACAACCCCCATTGCCCGTGAAAATCTGTCCGGGTTGGATCAGATGTAAACACATAACGGTGTTCTTTGGACAAGGGTCCTGTTGGCTTCTTTAGTTTGGAGGACCCCCCTCTCCTGGTGTGTTTTGGTTGCACGGGGGGCCAAAAATCAACCCTAAACACCCCCTTGTCATTTGTCTGCAGAAAGCAACAAAGGGAAGCCAAAAGGAAACTCCCACCCATTTTCGGGTCCAAAATCCCAATTTGGATACATACCCATATGGGTGTCTCTTTTTTGAGGGTACCGTTTCTGGTTGGTGTTCAGCAAAAACCAAAAGGAAAACCAACCATCTTGTGGGTCCGACCCAAATGAGACAACCACCCAGAATTAGCAGCCCGGTCTACTTGCTTCAGCCCGTATTGGGGCGGGGGTCCAATTTTTGTTTGGGGGGGTCCAAATCCCAAAATTTTGACACCCACCCATCAGCTTCTGCCACTTGCTGTTTCACTCTCGCCTAAGCTGGTACTCACGAGGCTTTTGGCTTGACGCGCAGAGTGGGTGGAAACCACCGGAACTGCTGGTTGGTTCAAGCTGCGATTCTGCGATCAAAATGGCTGTGGCTCAATAACCGGAACACCCAAAATGGGTCGCCCTGGTGGAAACATGGACCAAAACCTGCGGTTTGCCCCTGCGATCGTTTAATGTTGAGCCACACCCAAATAGGAGGGACCTGCAATGGTGTTTTTTTTTTTTTCTCGGGTTCCCGGCAAATACCAAGCCCAAAATGGACACCGAGCCTCAAAGAAATACAAGCCACTATGGCTGTCCCTTTGATTTCAACCTGTGGTTCAACTACCTCTTGGGAACCCTTCTTTCAGTGAACCAAAAAAATGGCGCGCTCTGCCCCACAACATGCGATTTAGACCAGCCGAGTTAGGCCAAACCCTCCTGAAGGAACCGGGGAGTTCAAATCACTGGCAACCAGTCGAAGGGTTTCGACACATGGGGCTCGTGTTTTTTGAGTTGGTAGCCCCTTTTCATCGGTGTGAAAGGGAAACCAACAACAAACCAACACAATTGTGTGGGTGCAGCAAACACACACACACAACCCACACACAACACACAACACACACAACACACACAACACACACAACACACACAACACACACAACACACACAACACACACAACACACACAACACACACAACACACACAACACACACAACACACACAACACACACAACACACACAACACACACAACACAAACAACACACACAACACACACAACACACACAACACACACAACACACACAACACACACAACACACACAACACACACAACAC